ACATTCAAGATCATTTACACAACATAAGTTATCTAAATGTTTTGGTAAATAAAAGTATCATGCAGACATATGTAAAGAGACGGTATTCCTAGAAGCATAGAGAGCAACGCAAACGTTTTCAAATCCACGAAAAATGTACCCGAAAGCAAAAATATGAAGACAACCTCACTAACATCCTCAAAGACACAAGTTAAATATCAGAAGAGCTCTTTGGTTCCAATGACAGCCTAAGATATGTATATACTGGTCAATTTAAGGTTAATTTTCTCTAACTTCATGCATCAAGAAACATTGTTTGGAGAAATGAACGTGTTAACTCAAGCAGATAACTCAATAGCCAATTTATGGCGGATAAGTCTATTCTACCATGTTACTGTATGCAAGGTACGAAAGTATAGATACATTGGACTATGAAAAATGGCATGCATGTCATCATGCACACAACAAAGATATGTCAAGTCTGTGAAAAGACGTTTAAAAAGTCTGGGTAAGGTTCTGATTCTGATCGCCAAGTTGAAGTAAGAATGACTGCGACCACATGGTGCCTCCAATATTAAGAATACCCTGTGAAACATGCAAACCAATGGCCCACGGGTCCAGAATCAGCTAGTTAGCTTCTTAGAAGTTCAGAAAAATACCTGGAATAGTAAAGTGAAAAAGTCAGCACAGGATAAAATCATCACAGAAAAAAACTTAAAAAAATGCGTAAGAAACCTGGATTTCCATTATCCCAAGGTAAATCTCATGATAATTAATAAAGCAAACATGTATCTCAAATGAGATTCTTACGAAGATTACATGCTCCACATCATGCTACTTAACCTTTAACAACTAGAGAACAATTTTTCCATGTTAACCACTTACCTGATCCGTTCACTCGTTAACTAATGCTTATCACTTACAAGTACCATATACTCGCAAACATTGTTTCAAACAACCACAAGTTTTTTCATGGTAACTTAGTTATGGAAGACACCAAGAGTTTCGACCCAATCCAGTTGTTTGTGAAAAAACCACCGTGAATCCAGAAAAAGATCTGTTACCTCTTTGGCTTTTGCTGGGACTTTACAATCAGCTGGTAGCTCCTGAAACTTTCGCTTTTGGGGTGGACGCCTTTCCTTTTCCTTACTTGAAACATCACTTGGTTTTGATAAGGAAGTAGCTGTCAGCACAGTCGGAGGCACAGTGGAGATAACAGGAGAAACTGATTGCCTAAGGACTTGAGCAACTTGTTGAAGTGGAGTGGCTTGAGGGTATATTCCAGCATACCCACTATAGCTAGTTCCCCCAGCCATGGGCTGTAAGTAACTGACTGGACCAGGTCTCGAGTGCCCGTCATTTGATATCCCTGAAGGCTGCAATACTGGAAACTGAGGATAAAGAGTTGTTGCCGGAGGAACTGAAAACGGATGAACAACACTTGGTGGTGATATGATGGGTATCGATCTCATCAAACCATATGTTGAACTCAAATTTGGCTTTTGCTCGATTTCAGGAGCTCCTGAAACCAGTTGCTGAGGTGGTGGTACTGCACCGTACACCTTGCTTGAGGAAACCCTGAAACATTTTGTAGGACAACCAAATACAATTACAACTCAGCAAATGAAATGACAGAAACAACATAGTGCTTCTGATCAGAAATAGCAGACTTAAAAGAAAACATTAGCCTTCAAATACCAAGTGGTTTCATATCTATCAGCAAGGCATAAGTAAAAATATTAAATGACAAAAAGATCATGGAAACAATGAAAAAGCTTATTATATGTAACAAAGTTTGAAGATTTTCTGGAAGATAAAATGAACCTTGAAGCCCCGAATTCTACACTGATTGTATCCATAAGATTCTCAGCTAAACGTTTTGCATCATCAATACTCTTTGGGTTGGTGCTAGATAACAATAAATGCAATGGTTGATGTGCTTCTGCAATAAAGCATAAAAAACAGGACGCTACATTACATTAACAATGTGATACAGATATATCCACCTCGCGTAACAACAGTCCCATAAGTAGACAAAGACAGACACATATGCCGCAAATATTACCTTCGCCATGTTGGTTCTCAAGGCTCCCTGAACCACGCCCTCGTAGTACAACGGTTGCTCCTGTTTCATTCATAATGTGATTTATATACTGATCCTGCATGTAGGAAAGCCAACCACCACCAACACAAAAAAAGTTCTCTCCAGATTGCACGGAGATGTCAGAGAGAGCTTCACCATTAGAATCTCTCGAATTCATGGAGTGAGAAAGTAAAAACTGTAATTCAAAGATTAAAACCTACACCAATACACTACTATTGATCCTTTTATATAGCTTAAGTTATACAATAAGGAAAGGTGATTCAGTTCCTTGGCTTAAACTAGAAAGAACAATGGGAAGAGACTGAAGGATGACTCACATTAGGCCCACGAATACGAGCAGCAACATTAGATGATGGGTCGGCTTCAAAACCCAGATACACGCATGCGCTCAGTACCTGGAAACATGGTTCAGTTTATTGCTGCCCTGATTTCATAACTACAAAAAGAGGTGTCACGCTATCTACCTTGACTGTCGGAAAACCAACCAACCCAATCTGCGAATTTGATTTCTGTTTCATCATCTCCTCAATTATAGCTGCTGCACGATCAACCGCTAGTATACGTTCTGCAGTCTCTTTTAACTACAGTTGTAATAACAAACATAAAAACCAGGCCACATTCTCAAAGCTCAGATATTATATGAAGCTTCTCAGATTTGGGTAAGAAAGAGTTTTCAGTTTCAACAACATTGTGACCATCATTATACACAGCTAAAACCAATATATTTCTGTCAAAAACCAGAAGCAAGTTTGATCACACAGTAAAACACAAATGACAAGCTTATTAGACTAGTCCTTTCTATTCCCCTTGACTAGGTCTCTGTTAAGCTAAGAAGGATATCATACATGGGCAGCAGCAGATATGTGAAGATATAACGGCTTTTCACCATCAGGAGGTGCATTTGGAAGACGATACTTGCCCCTACAAGAAAAGTTCATGAATCCAATCTAGAAAAGAGTATTGTAAAACTTTCTTCTTCATGACATAGATGGCGGACGAACCTAGTAATCACCACAGCACCAGTAGACCTCTGAATCTGCAAGATGAATACACGCTAAAAACTAGAGAGG